GCTGGCTCCGTGTAGGACACGCTGCCGAGGCAGCACATGGGCTTGTAGGTGAACTGCTCCACAGCAGCCGCGTTCAAGATCCACGACAAGATCGCGCTGAGCAGGATCACAATCATCACAGCGGCCCGCACGCGCAGGAGGATCAATAGGCTCATGAGGCAGAAGAAAGCAATGCCGATCCAGGTGCGCAGGAAGTGCTCTCCGGTCAGCGTCACGAGGTCCACAAGCACAGCCGGATGATCCCGAACGATGTCGATGCCATTGCCGGCCTGCAAGCCGATAAAGGCCAAGAACAAGCCGATGCCAGCCATCGTTGCTTTCATCATCCAAGTGGGGAACACTTTGAAGACGTAGCGGCGAAGATCGAAGAGCGACATCAAGATGAAGATCACACCCTCGATGGTCACGGCAAACATCACCTTCTTCACAGAGTTCTGTCCGCCCTTAAAGCCCACGATGGTGTAGGCAAAGTAGGCATTCATGCCCATGCCGGGCCACAAGCCGAAAGGCAGGTTCGCCCACAAAGCCATGATCAAGGTCCTAGGCTCACGCCCTACTCAGCGATATCAACAACATCAGCATAAGACACTAAGCCCGACAATATATATATATATATATATATATATGCTCGGCCTGCTCCACACCTCCGGCCTGAACCCCTAAAACCCTATGAATCTTAAATCCTCAAGCCGTAAACCCAAACCGCTATGAAGCCCTATGAAGCCTAAACCCTACGCCCTTATGAACCCTAAACCCTCATAATGTAGGGGCCTTAATAATTAGAATAGGGCTTTGGGGCTCATTCTACTATATTCATAACACGGAACCCACCAAATAATGTTGGTAATTATTTAGGCCCCTATATTCAACCCTAAGCCCTTCTAGGCCCTGGACCCTAAACCCTAAACCTTAAGCCCTTCTAGGCCCTCGGCCCAAAGCCCACAGCGGCCGAGGATCGCAATGCAGCTGGAGCCAGCGGTCGCGAAGACGAGGCCCTCGAACCTGGGTTCTTGCTGAAGGATTTATAGGGTTTAGGGTTTAGAGTTTAGGGTTTATGTTACCATAACAAAGAGACCATACTGTTTGCCATAGATCCCATTATAGTAACTTAAACCCCAAACTCCTAAACTCAAAAACTGGTAACTTAATCCCTAAACCTTAACATGCAGGCTTGAACACAACAATTCCTTAACACGAACCCTCAACCCTAAACCCTGAACCCAAAACAATTCCTGAACAAGAAACCCTAAACCCTAAACCCTAAACCCTAAAAAGAGCCCAGGAACTTCAAGCCCGTGGTGCTCAGGATGTTCGGGTTCACCTGTGGCTCTGGCTTCGTGGTTTTGGGGTTTAGGGTTTAGGGGTTCAAGGGTTTAAGAGGTGGGGTTTAGGGTTTAAGGGTTCAAGGGTTTAAGACGTGGGGTTTAGGGTTTAAGGGTTCAAGGGTTTAAGGGTTCAAGGGTTTAAGAAGTGGGGTTTAGGGTTCAAGGGTTTAGGGGTTAGAATTAAGGGGTTTAGGGAGTTGTAGAGGGGTTGTTCCGTCGAAATTGTGGAAGTCTCTCTCGGGCGGTTTGCTCCTTCTTCTGAAATTCTCCAGTTCCTCTCGAGCAGTTCGTTCCTTGTTTTCAATCTCTTGTCTCCTCCGAAATTCTGAAATGATTTTCGAGCGGTTTGTTCCTTCTTTTGAAATTCTCTAGTTCCTTTCGAGCGGTTTGCTCCTTGTGTTCAAACTCTCTAGTCTTTTTCGAGCGGTTTGTTCCTTCCTTTGAAATCTCTAGTTCCTTTCGAGCGGTTTACTCCTTGTGTTCAATTTCTCTAGTCTCTTTCGAAATTCTCTAGTTTCTTTAGAGCGTTTCGCTCCTTGTTCCGAAATTCTCTACTTCCTTTCGAGCGCTTTGTTCCCTGTTTTCAATTTCTCTCGTCTCTTTCGAAATTCTCGCGTCTCTTTCGAGCGTTTTGCCAGTTCTTTTGAAATTCTCTCATTCCTTTCGAGCGGTTTGCTCCTTGTTTTCAATTTCTCGTGTTGGTTGCGACATTCTCTAGTCTCCTTCGAGCGGTTTGCTCCTTGTTCTGAATTTCTCTAGTTGCTTTCGAGCAGTTTGCTCCGTGTTTTCAACTTTTCTAGTCTCTTTCAATTTCTCTAGTCTCTTTTGAGCGTTTCGCTCCTTCTTTCGAAATTCTCTACTTCCTTCGAGCGGTTTGCTCCTGGTTTTCGCAGAGAGTTGCTGGCTGGCATTTCGATTGGTGGCTTTTGCCTGTAGACTACAGAACGACGCCGCTCAGCTGTTCTCTTCCCGTATGAGTATCCAGCTGAACGGCAGGGTTTTAACATCGCAGATATGGCGAGAACAGCAATATCAAGGCCGTCATCATCAGAGCCACCGTCATGGTCACATGACAACTACTTGTACTTCAGGATTCAGGGGGGTTAGGGCTTAGGGCGTTTATAATTTAAAAATCCTAAAACTTACAAATACGCACAATTGTGTCCCAAAACCTTCAAGCCCAGCTGCTGCCATGATGTAGGCAGCCGTCAAGAACGTGGTGATGCCAGCACGGATCTCTGTGGTGAGGTTTGAGCCGCGCTGGGAGACCTACCGAGATGCACATAACCCGAAACCCTGAACCCTAAACCCTAAACCGTTCTTAGAAACGGCTCTTTCAGGGGTGTATTAACAGGATCTTTGTTGGGATTCCTAAGACTTACGATACATGATCCTATAGGGGATCTATGAGTGAATAGATTCCTGCGAGGATTGCGATCAGAGATCTATGAAGGGTTTGGGGTTTGAGGCTTGGGTTCAGGGCCTGTGGTTTCGGATCTCAACTTGGTGGTAAAGTCGAATATGGTTTTGGGGTATGTTATAGTCCAACTGATGGGGACGAAAAGGGCTTAGGGTTTGGGTTTAGAGTTTAGGGTTTACGGCTTAGGTAGGGAGCTATAAGGGATCCTTTGAGGGGGATAAGGAGATACAACTAATCTTTATTCAGGAAGCGTTCGAGGTTGTGGCGGTCGGGTATTTCAGGCTTTGGCGGGCAAAAGCTAATATATGATATATATATATATATATTATATATATATATATATTATATATATATACTATATATATATATATATATTTTATATATATATATATATATTATATATATATATATATTCATAATATTGTCTAATACTGGTGCCGAAAGAACCAAATCTGGAGAATAAGCTCCCAGTTCAAGAGCCTCGGAACGCGTCGAGACTGAAGATTTCAGGGCTTAGGGTTCAGGGTTTCAGCTTTCAGGTGTTATGAACCTAAACCCTAAACCCTAAACCCTAAACCCTAAACCCTAAACCAGCCCAGATTCACAGCCGCTGAATCTGAGCCCTCAGCCCTCCCACCCGCCTTGAAGTAGTTGTCCACCTTACTGCCCCGGAACATCGTATCCATCTTGTTGTCCACCAGTTGCTTCTTTCCTCCGTCGGCAGTGATGCAAAAAAATAGGCCCGGGGGCCAGAAGACCTTCTGGGTTTAGGGTTTAGGGTTTAGGGTTTAGGGTTTAGGGGTTCGGGGTTTAGGGTTCGAGGGACTTGGCTACTGTACTTCGGCGGTGTTATACACCTGCTGCATAGAAGAAGTGCCGCTGCTTCGTGCCGAGCCGTGCATGGACAACCACTGAACTGGGAAAACGCGCAGGCCCCAAACATCCATCACACCCAGGAGCCTCTCAGCTAGTTCCGCTCCGGCTTTCAAAAGCAAATGTTATGAATGCCTAGATCCAACACCCACGGCTTCGCTGTTTTGTAGTCCTGCTCTGATTTGAGAATTTCGATGGGCTAGGGCTTGAGGCTTGCTTGGGATCCTGGTTCAGGCAGCCCAACACCGGTGCCCTACAATCACAGCTGCAATAGCAGTTCAAGAGTTAGTAGTGAAAGTATTATTATTAGTAGTAGCAATAGCAGTCGTCGTCGTCGTCGTCGTCGTCGTCGTCGTCGTCGTAGCAACAACAGCAGCAGCAGCAGCAGCAGCCTCAGCAGCAGTAGGCTGCTCGTATCTTCCTCGTGACCCTCAGGTCTTTGGGACAACTTCGGAAGAACTCCTAGCACCTGCCAATCCGCAAACTTGAAGCACTGAACTCTCCGGCCCAGAGGGAGTTCGGAGGAAATCTTGCGAAGCAAGGGTGAACCTGACTGAGAAATGCTTGCTTCTACATCTCTAATCTAGCCGGAGGGTTTAGGATTTACGGTTTAGGGCTTAAGGGTGAGAAAACTAACAAGAACTGAGGTCTTCCTAGCTAGCTTTCCAGATTATGTGCTGATGAAGTCTCCCTTGGCACCGATGTTGAACTCTGCTTCCGCCACTTCCGCCATGCTCGGATCGATTTCGGGAGGATCGGGTCCAAGCTGTCACTAAGTCTCGTCCTAGCGTCTTCTCCTTGCTCTAGCCATGAGCCGAAATGGCAGTTTGAGAAAATACGGTTGATGATATAAAGCCCGCATTACCATCAGGACACTAAGCCATGGGAATTATTGTATATTCCTCACTATGGGTAATCCAGGATTTATAAAATACGGTTGATGATAGAAATCCTGCATTATAAATCCTGCGTTACCCATAGTAAGGAATATACCATAATTCCGTAATTCCCATAGCTTAGTGTCCTTACGGTAATGCAGGATTTATGTCATCAACAGTAGCAGCAGAGGGACTCGACTCAAGAGGTCGAATTATGGGCCCCCCTATGGTTCCATCCGACTACAGAATGCTATGCAGCAAAACCAACTGCTGCTCGTAAAGGTTTCCGTATCAGTGCGGGTTGTCTCTTCTGCATACTTTTTAGCCACGGGATCCCAAGATACAAGTCTGAGTCGTGCTTGTTGGAACTGGGCGTTGGGGGTAGGATTCAACAACCCCTCTATCCGCATAAAGCCTGTGCGATACAATGGTCCTTAAGCCGTAAATTTAGGCTAGGCTGGACTGCGGCTGTGGTTGTGAACAAAGACAGCTATGTCTTTCTTGAGAGTTTTGGGTTTGGGGCTTTGGAATCCTAGATCCTGAGCCCTCGAAGTCCAATCTCCACTAGAGTAGCCATGAGCCGATGAACGGAGAGATCATCGAAGGTTTGTCGTTGTTGAGAGCATTCAAAGAAGCATTTCTTGAGCACTGAGAAGAGGGTACCAGGACACTGCATGGCAACATGGTGATACAAAGAAGGCGAATCGACTCGACAATAGGTCTGAGGACAACATGTCAGGTGGAGCCATAACACTGAGCATCGTCTCAGTCTTCCCCGCGTTCCACCCGACTCCACAGGTTTTCGGTTGTCGGCATTCTTGTCCGGGGTGTGGATCGGCTCTACGCCCGTACCTTGGAAAAAGGTGCAATCTAAGGGCTTTAGGAAGGACCCTTAATAGGGACCCTTGTAGGTTATTGGTGTATATATGGCAACTACCTGGCTATATAAGGGGTATATAAGTACTATACAATGGTTGTTTAAGGTAATGGGATTAAGGGTCCCTATTAGGGGTCCCTCCTAAAGTCTTTAGATGCAAAGAATGACGCTTTCGCGCCTCTTGAGTTAGGGAATGAATTGAGGGAGGAGCTGGTGGTTTATCCAGAGAGCTCACTTCTCCTTAGCTGGGGAAGCTTCCTTAAATCAAGAGGTCCCCAAGAGCGTCCACTTGATGATGGGTTCGATTGCGTTTGGCACTGTTTGCCTGGCGCATGAGCTTCGAATCTCTGGGTGCTGTGAGAGCCCCGCATTATCCGCATTCATGAAGAGCCATACCCTAAACCCCTAAACCCTAAACCCCTAAACCCCAAACACCTAAACCTAAACCCTAAACCTCATAAACCCTAGGCCCTAGACCCGAGCGCGAGCTGTGCAATCCTTCAACGAGCACTACACCCCGTAACATAGAATCGAATTGGCAGGATCCGGATCGTAAGAGTTAAACCGGGTTTAGGGTTTAGGGACAGGAGAAGCTTAAACCCAATATCACGCCAGAAGAACCTGAACGCAGAATGCATCGCCAGAGGACCGAATTCCTCGACGGTGGGGGTCTTGGCTTAAGGGGTTGGTCCTTTGGGGCTTTAATATGGTAAGGGTGCAACTCTCTTATGGTAAATAAGGGTCCTGTTCAGTTCCTCGGTCCGCTACGAAGAGAGGGAGCAAACTGTTCGTTATCGAGAGCTGCATGAACCTCCACCATGGAAGCAAAAGCTGATGCAGGGCTTAGGCTTAAACCCTAAACCCTAAACCCTAAACCCCTAAACCCTGACCCAAACCCTCAGTTAAGGCTGCGCATCTAAAGCCCAGAAGGTAAAGGATTCCAGGCCATGGTGCCATGCGCACGGCGTGTGGAAGAACCGGTAGAAGAACCGAAAGGCACTGGCGCACCTAGGTCTCTGGAAGAGTTCGCCTACATCTCTCAAACCCTGACCCTAAACCCTAAACCCTAAACCCTGAACCCCGTAAACCCTAAACCCTAAACCCCGCAGCCCAGCAAACTCCGAAATCCACTTGCTCACTTGCGCCTATGCGAGCCGCCGCTGGGCCGCAATCCTGTAAAGCCACCCCCAAATCAGAACCGCACAACCCCCTAAACTGATATGGGTAGTTGCCTAAATTGGGATCCCTTTTTAGGTCCCCAATATAGAAATTTGGAGAACTACCCATATGCTTACATATAAACCCCCAAACCCAAAGTTGCGTTGTAGCTTTCACGGCGCTTGTCAAGCACCCGCAAACGTCTTCACGCAGGGCAACATCCGGCAGCACGGGTTTAGGGTTTAGGGTTTAGGGTTTAGGGTTTAGGGATTAGGGTTTAGGGTTTAGGGTTTAGGGTTTAGGGTTTAGGGCTGCGGAAGCTTCCCGAATGCCTCTCCTCCTCATTTGCCTCTGCCCCTGTTCGGCCCGGCCCCTACTGAATCCTGAGACCCTTCACCCGAAGCCGGAATTAGAAATCCAAAAATCGGAAAACCTAAAACCCCAACGCCCCAGCCCAAACCCTAAAACCTAAAGGCCCTGAAACATCAACTCCTTTTGGTATCCGTATTATAGTACCCTTATTGTCGTACCCATATTGTAATGCCCTTATTATAGTACCCCTTGTTAGGGTGCGCTTATCAGCCCGTACTATGATTCCCTTACTATGGCGCCCTTATCAAATAACCCTCAGTATAGTACTCTCATGATGGTACCCAAACACCCTAAAATAGGGCCCTAAATAATGACCCATACTATTTTGGGGGCTCCTTATTCTAACTATAATATAACATGCCCCAAACCCTATTCTAAGGATTAAGTTGTAAAGCCCATCGAAACCCTAAACCCTAAACCCCATTACGGATTTGCTGGGCTTCTCATAAGCTTCCTGGGTTCAAACGGGGCCTCTGGGTTCTCAAGGCTGACGGGACTTTAGGCTGTGGGATTGAGGCTAAAAAGATGAAGGACCTAGGGTTCAGGGTTTAGGGTTTGGGGCTTGAGGTTCTAGGCAGCTGGTTCGTGTGGTTAAGGGCTTTGGATTACATGTTCAAAACTGGCGCATGGCGTTGGCGTGCTGGGGTCTAGGGCCTATAGGGTCTAGCTCTCCCTAGCCCTAGTGCTCCCCAAGATTCCTTAATGTTCCCCAAGGTTCCCTAAGGTACCCTCCTACCTTCGAACCCCCCTCCTGAAGGATCGCATAAGATTGAGACCAAGCTGCCGCGTTTGGATGGCCGGGCAGGTTGACGACCAAGACCTCCCCCCCAACCACTTATCAGTCTTTTGGGAGCTTCGGGTTCGGGTTTAGGGTTTAGGGCTTAGGGCCTAAAGGGTTTAGGGTTCAGTCCGGCAAAATGCAAGATAGCTCTAGAATCCGCATTCAGGTCCAATGGTCCGCCGAACCTGTGCTTTTTTTTGCTTCGGGTCGAGGAGAGGTTGCTTTGACTATGGTGGCAGCCAAGATTCTTGAAGGCAGTTGTTGGCATTTTCGCCCTAAGCCCTAAACCTAAACCCTAAACCGTGGCTTTGTGGAGAGCATAGAATCCGTGGATCATTGAACTGCAAGCTTCAGTCTCGCTTGCATGTCAGGTTTAAGGCTTCAGGCTTCAGGTCTGGCATTGCCCTTGTTTAAGAAAACAGGCGTACAGTGTATCCAGGCCCTTTGCTGCAAACTCTTAAAAGCAATGTAGCGGCCTGAAGGCTTCGTTCTCTTCTGTCACGGCCAGATAAGCCAAACGAAAAAACCCGAATGTGAAACCTTAGCATTATTCCGGGGAGGAGCGCTAAGAAGCGTCAGCTAGGCCCGAAAAGCTAAAGACCGCAACCCGGCAACCCTTACACCCTGAACCGCAAACCAAAGCTCATAAACTACAAACCCTAAAACCTAAACCCCCTTACAGAACCCTCATGAAATGCCCCTGGTGCCTTCTCCTTCGTGATGCCGCAGATGCCCCTGGAAAGCACACTTCGAGGCTCCTGAAACCTGGCGACGTGGGTTTAGGGTTTAGGGTTT